GCTAAAATTGTTTATTTGCCATTAATTCTCATAGGGAGGTAGTGTAGGTAATGGCAAGTGTGTAGGCTTTAAGAGTAAGCTTAACCAAAGTTTTTATCTTAGCTTAGGATGTGGTAATGGTCAAGTACTTCATCTCTCTGAGGCCCATTATAATTCCCCCCTGCACCACTGTTATGAGGAATGGAGATAACGAATGTTACATGCCTAGCAATTAAACCACTTGCCAGGTACGTAGTAGGTAGACCATAAATGGTCCTGATCATATTATAGCATCAAACATCCCTGTGTGCCTTCAGTGTTTTAATAAAAACATTCCCCGGGCTTCCCTGGTGGCGCAGTGGTTGAGAGTCCGCCTGCCGATGCAGGGAACACGGTTTCGTGTCCCGGTCCGGGGGGATCCCGCATGCCGCGGAGCGGCTGGGCCCGTGAGCCATGGCCGCTGAGCCTGCGCGTCCGGAGCCTGTGCTCCGCAACGGGAGACTCCACAACAGTGAGAGGCCCGCGTATTGCAAAAAAAAAAAAAAAAAACAAACAAAACACTCCCTTCTCCAGACATGTCAATACTGACCATGTTTTTCACTCCCTACTATGCAAAGTTTTCATCATTTAAGAAAAAAAAAAAAAAAACAACGGCTTCCCTGGTGGCGCAGTGGTTAAGAATCTGCCAGCCAATGCAGGGGACACGGATTCGATCCCTGGTCCGGGAAGATCCCACATGCCGCGGAGCAACTAAGCCCGTGCGCCACAGCTACTGAGCCTGTGCTCTAGAGCCCGCGAGCCACAACTACAGAGCCCGCGAGCCACAGCTACTGAAGCCCACTCTCCTAGAGCCCGTGCTCCGCAGAAGGCACCGCAATGAGAAGCCCACACACCACAAAGAGTAACCCCCGCTCACTGCAACTAGAGAAGGCCCGCCTGCAGCAAGGAAGACCCAACACAGCCAATTAATTAATTAAAAAAAAAAACCAAAAAACTAGTTTTACATTTCATTTTCTAAAAAGTGGCTTGTATTTTTAAGCAGTTATCTATTTGAACTGATTTTATTTAACAAAATTCCCATGAAAAATGTCTGAAATATTGCAGATAAAATGTGGAATGGTCTGAATTAGGCTTTTCTATATTAAGAAATAATTAAAACATTTGACAAAAAGTAGTAACAGCTACCACTTTCTCACATCCCAAACTGTGCTCAATGCTGTTTCTTTTCTTAACAGCAATCAGAAACCCATGTCCCTAAATTAGTTACTGAGAACAGAGGACAGTATTATAAATTGCAATTCTAATAACGTCACATATAATAATAACAATAATCCTGCCCTTCAGCTGGCTAGTAAAGTAATGGGGAAAGAGGATGGATGGGAAGAAAGAATGAACATAAACCATTAAAAGCCTTCTGAATACAGGGTCGGGACTGAAGCAATGCACTAGCTGTTATGTGGGAAGCAGCATGTGTCACCTCCCCTTCCACTGGCTGTTTATCCAACATCAATACAACACTTTAGGAGCCAAATGACTAAACAAGGTGCCAATTAGGCTTGCAGTCGGCTGGATAGATTAGCAGCTAAAAGAGACCGATACAAGATTTTCATCTCTTGAGCCAATTACACCAGTGAACTACCATCCACAATACACTTTGGAAGATTTGAAGGGAAAGGACCGACTCAGCTGTAATAGATGTAAGAGATCCAGCAGAAAGGGGGCTGGGAGCAGGGCTTGCGGAAGGGTTAGGAGGCTCTGTGTTGCTAAAATTGCCCAAGCAGGAGGAGATCCTCCCAGGAAAGGACTTAAAGGATTTAGCACTGCTAGGAACAAAAGAAAAGGAAATGATGTTTGTCGGATGCTGTGCTGAGACTGAGCTGTTCCACTCCCATGTCTTAATCTCATAAAAGGATGAGCGACCAATAGTAGATGTCACTCTAGAATCATTTCCCATGAAAAGTGAAGTATCTGTTGTTGTTTTTTAAGTTGTATAGAAAAGCCATTGTTTTTTGTTTGTTTATGGCATCTTTGTTTCAGTGTGGAAAGATTTAACATTTGAGAAATTAAATATTCTTTTTTTTTACTGTAAAGATAACGCTTTATTTTTTGTTACGAAGAAAAATGAAACCAGCATTAAAAAGAGAGAGAATGGATTCTTTTCTGCCTGTATAAAAACCAAGCATGAACTTATGGTTACCAAAGGGGAAATGGGATAGGGGGTTGGGATAAAATAGGAATTTGGGATTAGCAGATACACACAACTATTTATAAAATAGATAAACAAGGTCCTACTGTATAGTGCAGGGAACTATATTCATTATCCTGTAATAAACCATAATGGAAAAGAATATTTAATATATATACATATATGTGTATACATATATGTATATATATGTATGTATTACTGAATCACTTTGCTGTATGCCGGAAACTAACACAACCTTGTAAATCAACTATACTTCAATTAAAAATATAGACAAAAAAGCATGGGAGGAATAGGGTGGCCACTGCTAGGCCACCATGCTTGAAACACCAACATTTTAAAATTACAAGAGTGAATCCGTTATTTACTATTCACTTCGAACTGAGAATTGACCGCAATTTAGCAATTTGTGCAGAGACGTTTTAAACTGACCTCATGTTTTTTCTTAAATATTAAAATTTAAACCTGAACCTTTGAAAGCTCTTGTATTGAAAATATGATTAAATAGATTTGTAACCTAAAGCAGCATTAGCCCTCTGATCTGATCTTAGCTTATAGATGGAATTAAATTAATTCATGGTGATCACTAAAAAATTAGGGATATAAGACAAAATGCTAGTACACCATTTAATCTGACACACCTGAGCAGCAGCTGTTCGGAAAACAGTTAGATGCCTTGGTGGTCTGTCTTTGTTGTCACCATTATCATAATTACAAAGTAAAAACTTTAAAAAAAACTTTATTGCCTTTTTGTTATTATATTAAACAAGAGGTCTGACAAAACGCTTCTCTTTGTTTTTTTGGTAAGTAAGAGTTCCATTTTTTATATTTTATATGTATTTATATGTATATTTTTATGTAGTTTAAATGTATACATAAAATCTCTGTGTATGTATATTTTGCCTTTGTCAAGCAGTAAATAACTTTAGTCCAGAATTTTTCTTTGGTACCAGTCTTTGGCCATTCGAGCTGTTTGCAGTTGAAGGTTTTTTCTCTTTTTTTTTTCTTTTTTTTTAATAAATTTATTTATTTACTTGTTTGGTTTTTGGCTGCGTTGGGTCTTCGTTGCTGTGCGTGGGCTTTAGTTGCGGCGAGCGGGGGCTACTCTTTGTTGCGGTGCATGGGCTTCTCATTGTCGTGGCTTCTCTTGTTGCAGAGCATGGGCTGTAGGTGCGCGGGCTTCAGTAGTTGTGGCACGATGGCTCAGTAGTTGTGGCTCGTGGGGTCTAGAGCGCAGGCTCAGTCGTCGTGGTGCATGGGCTGAGTTGCTCTGCGGCGTGTGGGATCTTCCCGGACCGGGGCTCAAACCTGTGCCCCTTGCATTGGCAGGCAGATTCTTAACCACTGCGCCACCAGGGAAGCCCGTTTTTTTCTATTACATATTAAGATACTTGTTTCAATGAGCTAAGAACCAATTTGACAAATCCAAAACCAACTCATTATTGTGGTAGCCCAGTTCTCACTCCCTGTAATGAAGTCAGCAAATGGCAACAGTGTATTCTATGCTCAGTCAGAAAATGTACTGAAGATTGAGAATATCAAAATGTTTGGTAAAGGCCTTGCAAAAGTCAATTGATGATTATAGTTTCAGTTATAAAACTCATCAGTTTCGGTTATAAAACTCATCTCTATTTGCAATTTCCTTCTGTAAGTTTGAATCACAAGGAAAAACCCACTCGCTATTCCCCGGAAAGCCAGATACAAATTACCAGATTAAATATACTGTTAGTTCAACCCTGACATTTCTTTTCTTTATTATTTTATTTTTTTACTGTGAGATACATATACCAGAGAATATATCGAAATGTGTAGATACAGTTTTAAAACACAATAATAAATTGGCCATTAGTGTAGCCACCACCCAGGTCAAGAAATAGAACTCTATATGCTGCGGTCCCGTAGATAATATTTTTTGTTATTGTTACTGGTGCTTAAGGAGCCTTCTGTGCCTTGTATCACCATCCTAAACACAATCTTAGAGAAGTAGGACAGAGAATCCCAAATTTGGCGGGGTGAGGTGAGGTAGAAGGTGCTGTCATAATCCCAAATCAGGGAGGAAAGATGGATGATGATGGGAAAGGGGTGCAGGGAGCACGTGGTTTGGTACCAAAGAGACATCTGACTCACAAGCCTTGGAGAGTAGTGAGTGATTTTGTCAAAAACTGCTCATTTCAACCCTCAGACTGTCTAGGAAAACAGAGCCCACATTTCAGAGCAGAAACATGCTGGACCCAGGACTGAGCTGGTATGCCGCAGGCATCCTGCAGACCTTTGTGTCCTTATCCCTGGAGCCCTCAGGACGGAATGGTGGGCAAATACTATATCCTTCAAAGTTCTACAACAGACTTCTGGGGAAGCCCCGTTACAGGAGACCGTACTGAATATGTTCTCACTAAAAGGTGGTTTTAAAATACTTTCACCCCTTTTCTTCCTGCACAGTCTCTAATGTTAGTTGCTTGATGATCACTTCTTTAATTGTCAAGGAAGAGTAACCACAAGATATGACCTGGTAGTTGAGTTTTGATGGCTTTGTGTTATGCCTGTTTTACAGATGAGAAGTCAGACGCCCCAAAGAGTTAAGTAACTTAATCAGCTACTAAGTGGTAGAGCTGAAACTAACCAAGGCCCTTTTTTCATTGATCCCTCTACTACAGCAATCTCCTTATCCAAAGGTGAATCAACAACCCTCCCGGGTACCTGGTTGAAAGAAAAACTTAGGAACATGTGGTTTTCTTAGCCTAAGAGGCTCTTCACTTGTGTTCATAAATAACAGTGGTTTGGGGGGTTGTTTTTTTTTTTTGTCATTTTCTAATTTCAGGATTTGTAGGAGAAAACGCCCAGCCAATCCTAGAAAACAACATTGGAAATCGAATGCTCCAGAATATGGGCTGGACACCTGGGTCAGGTCTCGGACGAGATGGCAAGGGGATCGCTGAGCCGATTCAAGCCATGCAGAGGCCAAAAGGATTAGGACTTGGATTTCCTCTACCAAAAAGCATCCCCACAGCCACTGCCTCCAATTCAGGAAAATCCGCCTAAGAAGAAAAGCAAAGAAGAGATGTTTTACCAGTTGCATTTGCGCTATGTATCCCATTGTTCTAAAATTACAACATAGCTTCTATTTTTGAAGCCGAAATCTAACATCAAAGCCTCAAACTTGTCACTCTAGCTTCCTAGCTGCGTACGGTTCTGCCACAATGATAGAAATGGGATTTCATCACAATTCATGGTGCTAAACACCTTTACCTTTTAAAAATGTTCAGCAATTTACATTCTAGGTGTAAAGAACAGCTCAATTTGTCTTATTTATTTTGATCTTGTATGTCAGTAATTTCTAATGCTTTAGCTTGATTCATTCATGTGTGTGCTCCATGCCCTGGCAACTGAGCACGCCCACATGTTTCTAAAATGGGATTAGCCGGAAAGGGTTGTGTTTCACATCAGCCCTGTCTGTTGTAACCGAAAACACCTATCATCACATCAGGGAAGTCCTAAGCACATCTTTGTTTGAAAGGCTGGCCAATTTCATATTCCTTGAATATGGCTTTTTTGTTAGGATTCTCTAACAGGGTGACACCCATTGTCTATCCTTGGACAGTGTAGTATGAAGTTCACAGTTGACAAACAGCAATTAATGTTTCCCTCTGACATGTCGACAAAAATAAACCTCATCGTTGTGATCACCAGAGTGCCCTCAACATGACTTTAATGCAGATTTTATAAATTTTACCTCATTTAGAACATAAAATAATTATGGAAAGGAAAATATTTTTTAAATTCACCACGACTGAACTGTAAATTCCATTAATCTAGACTTCCTTCTACCTCTTTCTTCCCAAAGGTTGATATTTTTTTAAGATCAACTCAACTGTAGTAAACTGATTTTAAATTTTAACCATCAGAGTAAGTTAGAATATCGACTCAATTTATTCGAAGATTTAAGTGGCTCTCCCAAGAATTCAGATTTCTGGCAATGGTCCAACCCATATACAAGGTGAACAAAAAATGAATGGTACTGATTTGCCCTTTCTAACATCTAAGCAGTTACCTTCAAACCAAGCAAAACAAGTCATTTTTACTTTGTGCCTCGTATTGTTATAGCTGAATCATCTGCGTCCTAACGTCAGAGATTCTAAATTGCTCTTAGTTTAGATGTTGACTAGTTATCTTCATTATTAAGGACTTCATTATAATGGCCTTTGTTGGTTGAGTGAAGGCCAAGATAACTCACGTGACTCACCCTTCTAATGTTATTTTTTTAACCCTTTATTTTTCTAGAGTAGTTTTAGGTTCACAGCAAAATTATGGGGAAGGTACAGAGATTTCTCATAAATCCCCTGCTCCCACGCATGCACAGCCTCCCCTGTTACCACCTTCCCTCACCAGAGTGGGACGCTGTTAAAATTGATGAACCTACGCTGACACATCAAAATCACCCGAAGTCCACAGTTAGTATTACAGTTCACTTTTGGTATTGAACACTCTATGGGCTTGGACAAACGTATAATGACATGTCTGCACCATTATGGTCTCATACAGAGTAGTTTTACTGTGATAAAAATTCCTCTGGGCTCCTGTCTAATAGGTTTTTGGAAATTTGTCAATCCCCCAAGAGTTTTTTAAAGGGGGGAGAGGAGGTTTGTGCATGTAATAGACCTGTCCCAGGTGGTCCCCTAAAGAAAATACTGCCAGTTAGGGAGAGGAAGTTCAGCCTGCTATTGGAAAGGCCTCATGGCTTGCCAGATTTCCTTTTAAGGACGCGTTCCTTTTAAGAATTATCTTCTTCCCTAGGAGTATCGTGGTAAAAGGACAAGTTGGTTAGAGGACTATAGACTACCAGGTGAGTTGCTCTTATGCTCTTCTTAGGCTATCAGGTGAGCATTCTTATTGGATAAAGTAACCTTGTTGTATGATTCTTTTCTACAAGTTTGTTACCTGGAAATTCGCCATTTTTCAAAAAAGGTTTTTGTTGACTACTCATTCTATCTATGTAAGGGGTAAAATTGTCTATATTCCAGTTTAAAACTTCTTTATGGTAGTATACAGTGCTCTAGGATCTGTTCAGAAGTTTCTTTTCATTTGTTTGTTTGTTTGTTTAATTCCATTGCCCGAAGATCTTCTAAAATCCTAGAATTTTGAAAAGCCAAATGTGGAGCCACTGATAACACACAATGAGATTATTGTGAGACTGACTGATCCTAAATTCCTAAGGACTTGACCGTTCTTTTTCACTTTACCAAGTTCTAACCCTCACGGTGAAGAAGGACAGACCATATATACCAGCTGGCACGGGGCAACTCCTTAACTAAATATTGCAGCTGTATCAAAACTTTTTCTTGTCCTCCTGGACAGGTACCAACCTTCTGAAGCAAACCTTCTCTAAGATATCACTGAGCTTGGGTGCTCTCTAACTCAGCCCCCCAAAACAATTCATCTTTATATTTTCCCCTGATAGAAGAAAGGTCTCCATCTTGACATCTAGTGCCCTCTCTGTGACTCACAGAGGATTTCAAACATCTCTTATCCTATGGAAGTGTTTAACTATACAGAATATGTGAATCAGTACTCAAAGCAGAGAGGTGGCAACATCCCAAGCATCCCCCCTGCTCTCACACAGACATGTACCAGGAGCACATACATCCCTTCACCTTTCAGTGAAATTTAAGAAAAATCAATGCACACATGAAGTTCTGCTTGGACCTGAACTGAATCGGAGAAATAAACCCAATTGAAAAATGCAATTTGTAATGTAAGTCGAATACCTTTTAAGATATGAAGTTCACTAATTTATGTTTTATAGAGAGTTATAGTTAATTTTTACCGGTTCCTATGCCCATAGAACCCAAAGCATGCAAAGGAATTCATCCTTTAGAATGTATCAATCATATCTCCTTAAAAAGGTGGTTAGATTTTTCCCTTCTTCATAAAGCCAACTCTTCTACAGTATCTAAAGCTTCATATCAAATTAATTGCTTGTACTAAAAATTTTACAGAGTACATTGGTCTCTTCCACTACTATCCAAATTATCCAGTCCCAGCAGTAGCCGAGAGAGGGTGAGTGTGGCTACATTAGCACTTCAACTTTTTGCCTTTATATAGGTGTTATACTTGATATTAATCAGATTGTGTGTTGGGGTCATTTCCTTCCTTCCTTCCTTCCTTCCTTCCTTCCTTCCTTCCTTCCCTCCTTCCTTCCTTCCCTCCCTCCTTCCTCCTTTTTTCCTTCTTTCTCCCCAAATACAATTTTTAAGGCTATGTTCCCCCCTCAAATTTATTTGCTTTTATTTTTTAATTATATGGTACCCCTTTAAAAGAAAATCCATTGCTAACTAAAAGTTACCAATTAATTGGTCTCAGCATTTTAAAACATAGATTTTATAACACACACTGTTGCTATCAAACAGAAGTTAAGACAAGTAGGGTTAAAGATATGCCTAATGTATACATATAGGTATGTTTACAGGGCACATATGTGTGCCATATACAGACATGATGGCAAAATAATTGCATTTTATTAATATTCTTATTTTAGCATTGTGAATTGATATTCTTGCAATTAATTGAACTGACAATTGCTTCTCTTCAATATATTTTCATTTTGAGCAGATATTTCATGAAAGAGAAAAATCACTGTTGACATGCCTTTTAAAACCATGTCCTCCTGTACTGTCTTTCTAAAAAAAAAAAAAAAAGTGACCTAAATTGGTATTGTAAAATTAAGTTGTTTAGCAAAGAATATTTTGGATTCTTTTTTCTTTTAGTAGAAAGGTATATTAATAGTACAACAAAGAATGAAAGAATAAACACAATGTTTGAGAATGTTATTTATAAGCAGTCATTGTCTTTGTGCTTTAAATGTTTCCTTCTAAAAGTAATAAAAAAATAGAGTTGAAAGGACTTTAATTTTTTTTTTAATTACTACCCATTGACAACATCAAACAGTGCAGTTAAATTCATTGTTAATCTTTAAGCCCTGGAAAATGTCAACATTTTCCAAAAAATTTTAGAGAAAAAAAATTGGTAAATATATTTGATTTCATTTATTCACAGCTGGTTGTGACCTGTTCTACTACGCTTCCCTGGCTTTGTTTGTTTCCTCTGAAACTGGGCTAGACTAACCGGCTTAGGGTCTCTTTCCACTCAGAGATTCTGATTCTAAAGTAGCGAGTGCAAATTCTCTGTGACACTTGAAATATCCATCAGGACCATATGTGTTACAGTCCCTCCATTTCCTTCTGGGAAATTGTACCTCTCAGAAACCTGCCTGGATTTTTAAAATATTTTATAATACTCATTAAAACGTTGAGTTCCGTTGGCTGTAGGAAAGCATCTCACTATGTTGATAAAATTTTCTTTTCTCCCAAAAAACTGAGTTGTGAGTTGCTAGAGTATGTGGATTTCTTTTTAATCCAATAGGTATTAAATACTCATTTATTTAACAGGCTTGCAGTAATATATATACTCAACTGACAAGTGGACCATGAAGCCTCCTTCTGTTGGGTTCCTACTAGGCGAAGACTTATTACTTTACACACCTGACATTTTAAGTAGATCCAGATTTGTCTCTAGCGAGTCAATGCCATTAACTACCGGAGTATGATCTACTATCGCCACTTTGGGTTTTATCTGTACATTAGAGTCGTCTTCTGTCTTTGAATTGTCAGAGAGTTTAAATCATTCTCAGATTCACCGACCTCATTCCTGTTGCAGTATCAGAATGTCCCGTGTTTACTCTTTAATCTTTCGAGGATGAAGTTAGGTAACAATTGAAGGCAATTTTTGTGTTTCTTTAGTTGTTTTTTTTTCTTAGTTTGAATACTCAAAATAAATTACTAGCATTTTAAATCTGTGTATAATACTTGATGTTTCAGCTCTAAGATGGTAAAGACAAGACTGTATTATGATAGCATCCCAAGCAAAAAGAACAATCAAACCTATTTTCTACCTGTTTTCATCTTCCTATTAAATTTCAAGGAAATGTTTATTTCTTCCTAAAGGCAGCATTCTTTAATAAAAGCAGAAAGGATGAGAAATAATATACAAGCTCATTATGTACTTAAAGTAGTATGTGAGTTCATTATATATTTAATACATATATTTTTATATATATAAGTATGTATATATATATATATACTTATATATACAAATTCTTATATCGCTATTGAAGTGAATTTCTTCAAACGCCAGAATTTTATAGTTTTGATGAGCAAATGAGTTGGGGAGGTGGGCGTGGAATTAAGGTTCCATTAGATACCTGTGTGGCTAATCTAATTCTAAAGTTCTTTGTTGATGGCTATAATTGATTATGGAAACTATAGATAATCCACGTTGCAGGTAGGAGGTACAGAGTTTACAAAACAATTGTTTAAGTGCACGTGAAGCACTTTACAGCGCACATTAAAATTGTGAAATTTCAACTACAAAACCACAATACTTGTAAAACAACGACCATCGTGTCTGTAGGCTCTCAACAGTCAGCAGTGTGGTCCGGAATCTGTAAGGCTTTGGTTCGTGCCCCTCCCGCATCTTTATACACCTCACCTTTAATTGCATCACTCCTGATTTCTTTCCACACATGTTTGTCTACTTCCCCCATTTTAATATCACGGGACAGCCTTCCAAAACGAGGCAACAATCGCGAGCACACAGGAAACCCGCGTGATCTGACTCCTGTCCCGTTGTGTTTCTCCATTATGTCCCTTAACAACTCAGCTAGAAACAAGCAGCAGATTCTTCCCCCCCCCCCCCCCCCCCCCCCCCCCCCCCCCCGCCCCGGCTCACTGAGTAATTGTGTGCGCTGTGTGCGCGCCGCAGTGACAGATGTGCAATATAGCAGCTTCTTCAGGAAAAAATTAACAGTTTGTCCAGCATGTCAGCTCGCTCTTTTTAGTGCTTGGGAGGTCTTGGCCCCATTATGGATGATTTAGAAATTGAGGCAAGCAAAAACCAGCTGCCTGCGCTGAAAGCCTTGGTTAGTCGCCCTCATCTGCATTCCAGGACTCACTTACATCTAGAAATTGGTGGAGCCCCTCTGGCCACGCGAAGAGGATGGGCTGACAATGCCTTGATTTGTTGAGAGAGAGAATAAATGGGTTTTTCAGAAGATGAAATATCGCCATTACTGGCCAATTTACAGCATTTTATCTGTTCTTCAAACATGTCACTTTTGTTATTGTTGCATGGTAATTACATAGTGAAACGGAAAGAAAACAAATTCAGGTTACGTATTCAGATGGATTGCAAAATCAAATAATCCTGATAAATGCCCATTTATGATACACATGGATGAAAGGTTCGTTTTAATTTTGAATGGCTGGCTCAGCCATAAATAGGATATAGGATTAAATTCCAGAGAATCTGATTATATAAAAGCAAATAGTCTTTCTCTTCACTTTTTTCAGATCCAGGAAATCCAGGTTGATACCGTGAGGCATATTCACAGACAGGATTGTCCTGAGACAATACAAAAAGTAAATTCAGCATTGCATTCTGAAAAGGATGCGTACTGGAGAGTTATCTTGTTCTAGAGATTTGTCAGTCCTGAAGTCTTCTCAGGAAGCAAGTGGGCCTAGGCTGAAAATATTTCCAGTTTGGAGGAAGAGCCTTACAGTTTGAACTTTACTTTAGGTACTAGAAATCCAATGCTTTATTCCTGCATTCCTCTTTCTAAGGCTATTTCTCCCCCCATCCCCAGACCCTTTTATTATAAAGGAATGTTGCCTGTAGAAGTTTAGCTGAGCGCACCGATAATGAAGTTCGTGGAGAGGAAAAGGAACAAGGGGCCGCACCCCAGGGCTGCTACTTAAAATGTCAGGTATACAAAGTAATGGGTCTTCACTTAGTAGAATCTCAGCAGAAGCAGACTTCATGGTCCACTTATCACGTGAGTATATATTACCGTAAATCTGTTAAATAAGTGTTGAATATCTACTGGCTCCTAAGTTTGCTGTGGCAGGGACAGAGAGATAGAAGAAGCACACCAGCACTTAACTGCTTTGGCCTGGGGTGAGACGTGTCACTGTTCAGGATCCACTGGCCAGATTTGGTCACACGGGCCCAACTGGATTTCAGGGAAGCTGCTGGAAGTAGGGAAGCATGTGGATGTTTGCGAGCACTAGTTCTGCCATAGTTATTTATGCTATGGTTATACTATTTTTACATAACCTCAATATGACACGTCCAGACCGTTAAATATCAAAGCAACATCTACCACATTTCATTGAGTCTAAGATGCCATCAAGTTTAAGAGGTACCTTAATTTTATGTATCATTAAGAAAGAAGAAAAAAAGCACTGGCAAACTATGGTCCTCTACCCCTGGCAAGATGCCTCCATCCCAATTTCAGAAATACTAGAATGTGAAAAAAATGATAAAAATATGTTTATAAGTATTAAATGACTTCTGCCAAGAAAAAAACTCTAAGGAATGCCAGGGAAGGGCTGCATGAAGTGGTGGGATTGGGGCTGCTCCTTGAAGAATGACAGGGTTTGACTAGAAACAAGGAGGGTTCATTTTTACCCATAGCTTCTTCTGTTATGTTGACATTATATGACATAAAAGGCTCAGGCATTGGAATTATTCCAAACTAGATTCAGTGCCCAGCCCTAATGCCTTCTGTATTTTTTGAGACTAATCTCACAAGTTTCACCCTTTTTTGCTGAAGTAAGAAATAATAATAGCTACCTCATTGAGTTATGAGGGTTAAATGTAATAATGCACACAATACACCCTAGCAGTGTCTGGCAAATAGTAGGTGCTCTAAATTAGGTACCATTTCTTTTCTAGTTTCTAATAAAGTGATAAATTTTCCTTGTTTGTTCGCTCTTCTGGTTGAGGGGAGAAGGTCAGAAGTGTTATTGTATTTTTACTTTGCTAACAGTTCCCAATAAAGACAAGTGATATTAAACAATCTTCCTAATTTCATAACCATTGATGGGCATACCCTTAAGAATAAACTTCTGCTATGACTCCAAATAATACGTTTTTTAAAAATCCATTCGACTAGAACCTATAAACAATAAAAATACAGAATTTAGCCACCACCTGCACTCAATAATTTCTTACCAGCTGACTGAAAATCTTCCAGGAACCACTGGCCATGCCCATCAAGGCCTTTGGAACCTCCCACGGCTCTAGTATATGCTACTGATCTCACAGAACTGGGAGATACAGAACCCAGTGAGACGGACGTTGGCCCGGGAGTAATACTAATGCTATGACAAATGCCTTAGACCTCTTGCTTGAGATGCTTAATTTAAAATTCTGTCTTTTCACAGAAACTTTTCAAGACTATATTCTGTAACAGTGCCAAACTTCAGAGTGCATAGGAATCACCAGGAAAGGACTTTAAAAAGTTGAGATTCTCAAACTCCACTGTCATAAAGACACCTGAGGGTGAGTACGCAGTTGAGAAAGACTGTCCTAGAAGAACCAGATTAGGTCATCTCCAAACCTTGGCCCGCATCCAAGCCCAGCCTTCTATGGTGGACCCTACTGGCCCATCTGCCCCAGCTGTCTTCTCCTGGTAAATGTTCTCAATATCACCACCCTCCCACCCTCTCCCTAAGACAATTCCCAGGGATTTGGAATTCGAACTAATAGATTTCATTCTGGACTTGGTATAACTGGTCTCTTGAATGGAGAAGCCATTGGTCTGGGCAGCAGAGGAAGTCAGTATGTAAATGAGGTAAAGAATGAGGTAAAGAAAAATGTCTAGGTTTCCCACAGCCCTGGATCCTGGTTTGAGCTTGCTAGATGCTCTCTCCAGAAAAGACCAGAGGACCATTCCTGGGGAGGTGGAGAAAGCAACACTTTTCTATAGGAGAATGTGACATCTCTTTGCATGGAACAAGCCTCTTACGTTATTGGGCAGGGTGCTTACCACGTGGGTCTAAACATCTTATGAGCAAACATATAAATCAGAGGGCGAATCATTCACATTACACAAAGCTTTTTCATGTTGTAAAAGAGCACAGGGTCCCTTTAGGTAGCGTTTTCTCAAGTGCTTATTTACAGATCATTAAATACTTAACAGCGGGAAAAAGTAAAAGCTGAAGTGCTTAAGCCAGTGTTTATTAAATAGCCATCACAGATTCAGATAAAGCAAATCTAAAATCATAATGACAGTTAATTGTCCAGTTTTTAGATTTTTGTATTAGGAGACAGGAGCTAAAATAACAGCCTGTCCAGGTTAATACAGGACCCCTGTGCATTCGACCATGGTTGTAATTCTTTTCTGTGGGCTTATCTCCAGTCCCATAAGACACTCCTTTATCTTATAATAAACATTCTCTTTTTGTACAAGTTAAGCTTTCTGTTATTTCCAAATAGTACTAATTTTCTGCAGGATGTTGGCTAAAATGTAAATGTATTATAAAACACTGAAGAGTACTACCATAACTTGACCAACTGAATTTTCTCTGATTGTGCAATTATCTAAAAATGTATAGTTTTAGAGGAACTATTATACCTTATAATGCTTTAATAAAGTTCCTTCTTGTGGCAGTGGAGTATTCTAAATGACTTGACCTCATTTTTCTTTTTGAGCCCAACTCTACCAAATTCTAACCCAGTAATTCCTAGCAATAAAGGAGGCCCATTACTTCAAGGGACTCTCATAAGACTGGAGAAGAATTCTGAATATTACTTTACTTTTCAAATATGTTAATGAATATATAACATATGATATTTCTCTTCGAGCTCTTTTACAATTTCTATGTGTCACAGAGTAGAGGAGAGCATGGCAAATCCATGAATTATGATGTCACTTCCTTCAGTCTTTGTATCCCATCTTACAGCTGCTTGTTTATCACACTCTCAGGCTACCGAGTTCTGCTGTTGGTTCTTGGGAGGACATGGCTGTCACTGCTAAGATGGTTCCCTTGGAATCAGCAGCTGTCCTGTTCTAGGCTATCAGACAGGAGTTCCAGACCCTCCTCTATAGGAAGGAAGCAACTAAAAAAAAAAAAAAAACAAAAAAACAGGAAAAAGGCAGAGAACAGAGAGCAACACTTTAGTCCTGGTGGTTTGCTTGCCTTTTATATCTGGGACACAGAAGCAGGGCATACAGCAGAAGCAGCGCTGGACCAGGAGTTAGAAGACTTGGATTCAGATTTGGTCCATCCATTACTGGTTCAAGACACTCACCTAACTGCTCTGGATTTTGTATCCAGATTTATAAAAAGAAGTGGTTATTCGGGAAAAGGAGTTGATGTTTCCGAGTGCCTACTCTGTGCTGGGGATTTCTCACGAAGTTTTCCTGAGAACTTCACAGAAAGGTATCAATACCTCCGTTGGCCCTTCTCAGTTAAAAAGATTAGATGACAATCAACTTCGAGAATGCATACTAATGGGGGAAAAAATCACCCCTAAACCAGCAGCAAGTCCAAATTAGCTAATACTTAAGGACATGCAGTGTTATTGCTTATAGGCAAATTACAATTTAAGTTAACATTGAATAAAATTTTACCTAAAAGAATTAATATTCAAACCAGCATTTACATGCAAACAGTGTGTGTATTGTATCAAGTTTTGAAATCTTTTATTTTCCTTAAGTACTTTATTTTCCCTTTAACTTCTTTCTGCTGTTAATTTACTTGATAAAAGTATCATAATAATGCACAGGCATACTTGCCCACCCTAAGTCTCAATAACCACAAAGTCAAATTCTGCATGGTCCATATAAGTAACATTTCACAACATCTCCTGGTACGTGTCTTATGACATGTCAGGCTCCTAATCATAGATAGAGGATAACACTAACTTGACCACATGACCCTGGACAACAGATGATGCATGATTTCCCAGAACAATGAAAAAGAAAGGGATTTTTTTTCTTTTAAAGAACTGGGGTTCAGTGTAGTGACCTTAACTCCATATACAGTTTGAAGAATTGGAACAGGTTCAGAAAAATTCGAGACAAATGATTAAAGGCTGAAGGGACTGACTTTAAGAAAAATATAGACAAGGAATAATGGAGAGTTTGCTAAATAATGACCACAGAGGGGGGGTCTAATCATCTCAAAAATATTCTAAAGACACAAACATCCAGAAGAAATAGAATGATTTCAAGAATTACCCTGTAGTTCTAGAATGGGAAAAGTATGGTTTGGTTGGTTTTGAATTTTTTTAAAAAGGAAAATGGTACTTGAGTAAAAGGAAACAGAAAGGCATCTGTTTTAATGGAAAACAGTAAGCTAATCAAAGGAAGAACTCTTAGGAAATCTCAGTCTGAGTTAATTGAAGCCCTTTGTGAATCTGTCAAAGACTATAACTCAGTCTAGCTTGTGGGTGATGGGCAGTAATATTCTAACACACCTGAGAATCTAATTGCTCTCCACTTTCAAACCACGTTGACAGTAGGTGGGACCAGGACAGGGTTTTGGTGCATCTTCACACTGGACACTGGCCTTGTGTCCGCTCTTTCGTTGATGAATGGCACAGGGTTGGGCTGTGACCATTTCTGGGTCTATTCTTTTTGTTTTGGGGTTTTGTTTTTGTTTTTGTTTTTGTTTTGCGGTATGCGGGCCTCTCACTGTTGTGGCCTCTCCCGTTGCGGAGCACAGGCTCCGGACGCACAGGCTCAGCGGCCATGGCTCACGGGCCCAGCCGCTCCACGGCATGTGGGATCTTCCCGGACCGGGGCACGAACCCGTATCCCCTGCATCGGCAGGCGGACTCTCAACCAGTGCGCCACCAGGGAAGCTCTCTGGGTCTATTCTTTAATCTGACTTTTGCAGCTGTGAAAATAACCAGAGTACCTCACAGGTCATTAGGCTAGGTAAACTACTCGTTACAGAGCGAAATGAGACCAATGACAGTCATATTCTGCCAAGGCAGACTGTGTCTACTTCCTACTATCTAATTATACGCCACTTGCTAAGTATTTATGGAGCATCTACCATACGCTTATCACTGAGCTGGGTACTGTGAAGATTCATAAGAATTTCATAGTGTACTCACCAGCCCCAAGGGACTTGTAATCTTTTTGGAGAAATCCAACAAATATTCAGAAATTAAATATTTCATAATAAGACTGGCACAGGCACTGGACAATGAGAGTAGATACCCCTCTGATCTGAATAGATGCCAGCTATAAATATCATTATAGCGTAATAGTGCATGTTGGTAAATACCAGCCCTACTTACATATGTTTGTTTTTTTTTAAGTTGGAGGGAAAAAACCCACTATGTCTAAAACGCTGTATTGGGATGTGGAGAAAAGGAAACCCTCCTACACTGTTGGTGGGAACGTAAATTGGTGCAGCCACTATGGAGAACAGTATGGAGGTTCCTTCAAAAACTAAAAATAGAATTACCATGCGACCCAGCAATCCCACTCCTGGACATATATCAGAGAAAACTCTAATTTGAAAAGACACATGCACCCCAATGTTCACAGCAGCACTATTTACAATAGCCAAGACATGGAAGCAACCTAAATATCCATCGACAGACGAATGGATAAAGAAGATGTTATATATATATGTATATATATGTATATATATAATATAGAGAGAGAGACACACAATGGAATATTACTCAGTCATAATAAAGAATGAAATGCCATTTGCAGCAACACAGATGCAACTAGAGATTATCATACTAAGTGAAGTAAGTCAGACAAAGACAAATATATGATACCACTTATATGTGGTACCTAAAAAAAAAGGTACAAATGAACTTATTTACAAAACAGAAATAGACTCACAGACATAGAGAACAAAATTATGGTTACAAAAGGGGAAAGGAGAGGAGGGATAAATTGGGAATTTGGGATTAACAGATACACACTACTGTATATAAAATGTAAACAACAAGGACCTACTGTATAGCACAGGGAACTATACTCAATATCTTATAAAAACCTATAAGGGAAAAGAATAGATGTGTGTGTGTGTGTGTGTGTGTGTGTGTGTGTGTAAAACTGAATCACTTTGCTGTACACCAGAATCATTGTAAATCAACTATACTTCAAATGAAAAACAAATTATATTGAATACAATCAAATGCCAATGTATATAATGGAACATAAATGCTGTATGTGCTGCCTTTCCCTGTCCATGGCAGACATCATCAATCCATAACTGTGCTCTTTCATGATGAAGCCAGGTGCAGAGTCCTTGGCAGTGAAAGGCCATGAAAGTTAACTCTTGTACTGAAATCCATTTACAATTCCTTATAGACACCATATGTGTTGGTCACAGAAGGGGGATAATATCAAGATACCCAATTACACAGATCTCTCCAATGATACTTTCTTGATTCTTTTCAGGAATCTCTTCTTGCTTATCTCTCTCTTTTTTTTTAATTTATTTATTTCAAGTATTTTATTTTTGGCTGCATTGGGTGTTTGTTGTGGTGCGCGGGCTTCTCATTGCGGTGGCTTCTCTTGTTGCGGAGCACAGGCTCTAGGTGTGCGGGCTGCAGTAGTTGTGGCATGTTGTGGCTCGCGGGCTCTAGAGCGCAGGCTCAGTAGTTGTGGCACATGGGCTCAGTAGTTGTGGCTCACGGGGTCTAGAGTGCAGGCTCAGTAGTTGTGGCGCACGGGCTTAGTTGCTCCACGGCATGTGGGATCTTCCCGGATCAGGGCTCGAACCCGTGTCCCCTGCATTGGCAGGCAGATTCTTAACCACTGCACCGCCAGGCAAGCCCTCTTCTTGCTTATCTCTTAATCAAATGAATCTTCCTTCTTTCAAATGTTCACATACCAGTTTTTCCCACTCCCATTCCTTTGCTTATGGCCTTCCTTTTGTCTGGCTAAAAAGATTCCCCAGTAATCTGTGTCCATTTAGAATCAGGTTAAATTTCATCTCCTTCCATCAGTCTTACCCTTATGACATTTTTAGGCACCTTTTCTAAGCACTCGATACCTATCCTGGCAGGGGATATTTTTAACTAATATTTTAAACTTTCTTTACGTAGGAATCACTTTTTAATCATTCTCCCATCGTTTTCTCTATATCTGTCTTAGCTCCCTATTTTTATTTGAAGCTCCTCAGTACAAAGCTATATATCCACCACTAGTTACACCACATACAATGATAACTGATCCATATTTGAAATTTGACTGAGTAAATAAATGAATAAATGAAAAAAAGAAAGTCTACAGGCCCAAAGGCTATATGCAAAAGTTAGGGATGTTTAAAATTGCTTCAAATTTTTGAGAATGCCAAAATCAGAATAGCTGTTTGCCCAGTTTTACTTAAAGGAAAACACCTTTTCAAGCAAATGCAGGAGAAATGACTGTCCATATTTCACACAGGACTGCCTCCGGCCAATTTTCTTAACCACGAGGTTAAGAAATCTGTACGGAAAATGTCTGCCAGAGGTGACAAGAAAGCATTAACTTACATTCCCTCCAGTGAGTGTAATCTCTCAGGCCAGCTGGTATTTTACAAACGTTTCCCTGGTGTCAAGCCTGCTGGTAACTGTGTTATTCTGATTTAGAAAGAGAGGATTGACTCAGAGGTGTCTATGAAATCATTCTGCAGGATGGTCAATCCCAAGTTTAACACCGGAATAAGAGGTGAACCGTTAGCTCCGCTGCCGTTCGGACCTGTGCTTAACTAGATCTTCGGGCTGTCGGTGTGGCCTCTGGAAGAGGGTACCCGGCAGCAGACTCGCTGT